GGTTCACAAAATACCGTTTGTCTTTAAGTATAGTATGGCTGGAACCACTATCAACCACAAGTGTACTCATCACTTCATTCATCATACTATACATAAAAATTTATAAACTCAGAATATAAATAAATAAAAATCTCATATCATAAATAAAACACCAAAATCCATAACAATCATCAAGCAATCATTCTTTAAAATAAAAACATCAATATCATAAATATTAAAACTAAAATGTCAATCTGATTAGTCCTTTAGACAATCAGCAGTCTCATAATCCATATCAGTTTTCTCAAGCTCCTCATCATCATCAGCATCATACCCGGAACCATGAACCATATGGGCCTCCGGGTTCTTGTCCTTCATTTTCTCTTGATATAGCTCAATTAAATGCTTATGAATTCTACATTGCTTCTGGAAGTGTCCAGTGCTACCACATCTGTAACAGACAGATTTGGTCGAGTGAGAAGGCGTGCTCGAGCCACCTCGGCCTCGGCTGGTTCCTTGGCCTCTCCAACGGCCGTAGCTGGAACCACGACCACGGTTATTGTGGTTTCCAGTCCTACGGTCGTATGGGGTCTGGTCTCGACCACTACGTCCCTTGAACCCACCACGGCCTCGACCGTGTGGTTTCTTATCACCATGGACGTAATTGGATTCCTTGGTCGGATCTTGCTCGACCTCATGAGCTTCTGGTACGGGTGCTGAACCTGCTGGTGTAAGGGCATTGTTTCTCATCAACAATTGGCTGTTGGCCTCTGCCAAAAGCAAGACTGCAATCAGATCATCATATGTGGGGAACTCTCTAGTTCTATACTGTTGTTGCAACACTGCATTAGAAGAATGCATAGTGGAATATGTCTTATCAAGCATATTCTCCTCAGTTACAACATCACCACATAACCTCAACAAAGAAACAATTCGGAACAAGGCCGAATTGTACTCATCCACGGTCTTAAAATCCATGAATCTCAGGTTCTTCCATTCATCTCGAACCTTTGGGAGTAAAACCGTTTTCTGGTGATCATAACGTCGCTGTAAAGCGTCCCAAAGTTCAAGTGGATTTACCATAGTGAGGTACTGATTCTTAAGCCCTTCCACAAGGTGGTGGCGTATGATCTGAATTGCCTTATATTGGTTCTTGATCGGCTCATTATTGCCTTTCTCAATGGTATCACCAAGACCCCTAGAGTTCAGGTTGATCTTGGTATCAAGAGCCCACTGCAGGTAGTTATCTCCAGAGAGATTGAGAGCTGAGTAGTCAAGGATTGCAATCTTAGACATCTGAATCACATAAACCACACACATTAGGGTTTCATAAAAACTTGTGATTCCTTGACTACTTTACAACCACAAACCAAACCATACTTGTAACTACAATGATCATTGTGAAGACAAACAAAAACACACCATTATGATCACTCAAAACTCATATGGTTCAGCATTGGTCGGAATGGGTGAGATGACATTAAAAACACATGCTTGTCGGATTTATTAAACAATATGAATGCAACCAAATTCAACAATATGATGCAATTCATAAAATCATTCAATCACACAATTAAACAAAATCAAACATACTAAATCTCCCCCTGATTTTATTAATTGTGGTAATTAGGGTTTCAAGGCCCTTAGGTCAAATTTTAAAATCAAGAAAAATTAGGGTTTTCAAGGCCCCAAGAATTTAAAATAGGCGGCTAAAATAAAACAATCATCCAATCAACTTTTAAAAATTTTAAAACTTGAAATCAGAGTTAAAACTTTCATAAAAATCATTCAAAGAAGTTTTAAAAATTCTTAAAACAGGTTTTAAAACTTTTATAATCATAAAAATCAGTTTTCTTAAAAAAAAAAAATTTTATGCAATCAATCATAAATCAGATTAGGGTTTAAGGTTTCAAGGCCTTATGATCTTAAAAAGGTTTCAAGGCCTTTAGGATTTAGGTTCTTTAAAATAAACAATCAATCTAACAATCCTAAACCTCAAACAAACAATTTAAACAATCAAAAACAAATTAAAATCCGATTTTAGGGTTTAGGGTTACAATTCCATAAATTAGGGTTTTTAAATTCTCAGATATGATCACAGAAACAATCAAACAGGATTAATTTGGAATTGATTTCAAGATGAGGGTGAAAGAAAGGTAGAAGGGAGAATCAAATTCTAGTTCATTCAAAGTTTAGGGTTTAGCAAAAATAATCTTAAAATCTATGGTGATTGTTTCTATGTCCTCAGATTAATGTGTATACCTTTTCTTTTGCAGATTTAAAGTAACCGGACCACCAAGAACAGGAGAGAAGACCGCGAACGGATCACCGGGTCGTCTAGGGTTCTTGGACGAGAAAAGGAAATTCTCTGGCGGCTGGAACGGTTGGTTCTGCTATCGGCTAGGGCTTNTCTAGGGTTCTTGGACGAGAAAAGGAAATTCTCTGGCGGCTGGAACGGTTGGTTCTGCTATCGGCTAGGGCTTCCACCGGAAAAAGGAAATTCGGGTGAGGCGGCTGGTCGGGAAAAGGAAATCGGGTTGGGAACTCGCCGGGTAAAAAGGAAACTCGGCTAGGGTTCTCGCCGGGAAAAGGAAACGCGGGTGGAGGCTAGTCGGAGAAAAGGAAAGATCGGCTAGGGTTCCTGGTCGAGTAAAAAGGAAACTCGGGTGGAACTCGCTGGAAAAGGGGAACTCGGGTGGAGGCTGGTCGGATGAGAGAGAGAGCTCGATTAGGGTTTTGCAGATTTCTTTGCTTGAATTACCAGAGCAATTCGTGCTGATAACGTGTTGTGAAGAATGATGAAATCTGTGTCTTATTCATGCTTTAGAGGTTCCATATATATATGGGATACAAGAACAAGATAAATGGAAAACATCCAATTCCTAAAGTAACAAGGAATTGGAAATACATAGAAAAGGCAAAAGACATGGCCGCCTAAAACTAATGGGTTACACGACCATTGGGCCAGTCTAATCTATCTAATGGTTATGGCCCATCCACTACATACTTCATAACAAAATTCAATATTTTTCCCTTTTAGAAAATGGTCAACAATATAGGCTCACTAATCAGCAACACCTTATTCACATCACCACATCAACAGTGATAGAAAAAAATAGAGGAAGAAATCCCCATGATGCCTCTCAACATATTCCATCCACTCGGGTACAAACAACTGATCAAAATAGCTACTACTACAAACTACTGATAAAGTGATCATCGGATTTTCTGGTTGAAATCCACTTAAATCATTCTCTTCACATTCGTCGTTTCTTTAGGAAATATAACACCTATATATTTTCCATTCCATCACTGTTACACGATTTACATGTTTTTGGATTTACGAATACTAAATACTACAGCATTATTGGAAAAATTATAAAGGAACTATTACCAAATAAACTATTATTTTAGAGGTAATCCAAACCACTGGGAAAGCAAAAATTCTAACACCAATGTTATACATGTTTAGAGGTAATCCAAACCACTGGGCAACCGAATGCAGCTGGACGTAACAGATATCTCATCCCTCTCTATCTCTTTCTACAAAGCTTTACGACCAATAAAGCTACTATTTTCCTTCTTAGGAATTTCGTCACACTTACTAAAAACCAGGTTTGCATATTTTTATAACACAATATCATACATCCCTAAACATAATCGAAAACTATTAACCTAAACAACATCATTAAGCACTTATCCGCACGTAGCGCGGAGAATCACACTAGTTTTAATAAAGAGAGAGAGAGAGCGAGTCTTGGGGGATAAGTTTAAATCTCCCAGAACAAGTTTAGAGAGTGTTTAGTAGAAATATTAGTTCGTCAAAGACGTTCACGAGTGAGAGCGTGAATCGTCTATCATTGTTTTATCCTGGGACTTTAATTTGTACAAGTCCGTCTCACTGTGGAGCGAATATTAAAAGTTAAGGAAAAAGATTCGTCTCGACTCCATGACGGTTTTATAAAACGTTTTCGTAATCGGTTTGATATCGTCTTTCCAATCGCTTATTTTCTTAACATCGTTTTAATTTATATTGTTTCCGTCAATTCGATTTTTTCGGCTCCTACAGATTTATGATTCATATCTTCTTCAGAGATGATATTAAATAGAAACCTATTTCATCCCCTCTCTCATCCTCTAAAGTCGTCTCTTTTTCTTCTTCCTCTCAGGCCCTTCTATGTTTGTCTCCAATGGAAAAAAACAAAGCCAAGAACGGTTCAAAGTCTTCTCCTTTCGAGTTCAACAAGAGTAAAGGTGATGGTTTTGACAAAACTGGTAAGAACAAGAAGAATCTCGAAAGAAAAATACGGAAACTAAATACCAACAATACTGCTTACACTCAGGTTAACATTACAGAATCCTCAAAACGAAAAATCATATTCTGTTGTCTAGAATTTTTAAAATTAATCCGTTTTGAAGGTCCTTCGAACGGGAATGGATACACAAGATACCTCGTCTTCTGTATTACTCTTCTTTGATAATCAAAGATTCATCTTTAATGCTGGAGAGGTAAAAAGTTCCTACTTTTTTATTGTATGATCTTGGTATTAAAATCAGTTACTGTATAGTACTGTATGATTCTTGACCACTTATTGTCTCTAACTTGATCACTTACTGATCAGTTTGTTGTATTATGCAGGGCTTGCAACGTTTCTGTCATCAAAACATAAGATCTAACTATCAAAGGTATGTATCACTAAGGCTCCTTTGTTTCTTTATGTTTGTGTTGTGATGAGTTTGAATTTTGATGGTTATCTTAATTATTACAGATATATCATGTGTTTTTCTCTGCTTAGAGACTGCAGGTGGACTTCCACGTTTGTTCTTGCTTTTGACTTATGGCTTTGTCTTATATAGAGTTATAATAATGTGTGCATGCTTTGATCTTAATGTTTATCGGAGTGATGTGTTGGGATCTTCAGTACCTGGTCCCATTGTTCTCCTTGTGGACTGTCCAACTGAGTCACACGTTGCACAACTGTTATCAGCGGAGTCTTTGCTGGCCACCGAAGGTTGCTAGCTCCTCTTCATTTTTGTTGTTTTCATCAAAAACTGTTACTTAATTTGCTTGGTGCTAATGTTTATGTTTGGTGTATTCAGTAAGAATATGGAGTTTTCAATTCTAAAAGCAAGTTCAATAATCACAGGTGACTGAATACTCTTTGTGCTCACTTATGTTAAGGCAGAAAAGTTCTTATCCAAAGGGTATCTTTTTGTTTATCAAAATTATGGATGGTTAATGAATAAGAGGTTTAGTTGTTATTTCAGAATTTCCTTTGATTACTGAAGCTTGCGTTTGCTAGGCTGACCAAAACATAGACACCCTTGGCCCTTTTTAGGAAGTGTGGCTTCAGTCTTGGTGCCTATTATATGAAAATCTCATATGGTTCAGTCAGGGAGGTGGTGGCTGTGCATGTTCTGTTACTTTTTTTTTTTTTTTTTTTGCATGTTCTGTTACTTATTTATTGTTTTGCATCTCCATTAGAAACATTTTCGTTGTGGTTTTAACCGTTTTCTGATTTGTTGATGACGTATGCGTTTGATTCTCTAATTGTTCAGATGATGAAGAAGAGGAGTAACTTGCTAAGTACCCACTCGCCACTGAGTCCGCAATGAAGATGACCGGAATACTGGTACTTGTTCAGATGATGAAGATGAGGAGCAACTCTTTTTCTGGTGAATTATTATGTGCTCCAAATGAAACCATAACCAAATATAAGTGTAGTTTCTTAGTAACATTGTTTGTTAGTTTTGGGTTATATTCTGTCTTATTCTGAGTGCAAAAGTTCATAATACTTATCATTTTTTATGTCCAATTTGTAAACTAATATCTTACAAGATCAAAATTCTTGAAAAATTTGTTTAGTTCCATCTAAACATAAGGAAATGAAAAGTGATTATACTTTTGTTTCACGAAAGTGAAATGATCTCTTGTTCATAAAATGTTTGTCTTGCAGGTTGAAGTTTCATTAGTTAAGTGAAGTAAACGAATTTTAAAAATAAAAATGACAAAACACAAGTGAAATGATCTTTTCTGTTCATAAAATTTTTGTGATTTATAAAAAGATTTTTTTTTTTTTTGTATTTTGTGTTTTTTTTCCTCTAAAAAATAAGAAAACCCTAAACCCTATAACACCCCGACCCCCCACGGCTAATGGGCCACCCACGTCCGCTCTCTTGGCCCATGGGCCCATCCCGTTCCAACGGCCGGTCCGTTAATTTTCCAAGGCTCTAGAGTCTTGTTTACTGACCCTGCAATCACCACCGACCTTTCCCCGTGCTTTGGCCTCACTTACACGGTATCGCAAATCACTTCCCGATAGGTCACCCATCCTTAGACTATTCCAGCTCAAGCACGCTTAACTCTGGAGTTCTCTCTGGATGTACTCCTGAAAAGGTAAGTGCACTTTGGTGACATAGGTAGCCAAATCAATTCTCTTAAGCCTTTGCATATATCACAACTCGGGATGTTACAATTCACCCCCTCTCAAAGAACGCAACGTCCCTGTTGCGCTCCCCGACAGGTCTCAAGACGCTTCTCAGGTTAGAACTGAGATAGCTAACCAGCTCTGATACCACTTATAACGCCCGACCGCCCGCAGCTAATGAGCCACCCACGTCCGCTCTCTCGGCCCGTGGGCCCCATCCCGTTCCAACGGCCGGTCCTTTAATTTTCCAAGGCTCTAGAGTCATGTTTTACTGACCTTGCAATCACCACATGACCTTTCCCCGTGCTTTGGCCTCACTTACATAGGTAGCCAAATCAATTCTCTTAAGCCTTTCCATATACCATCAAACCGGGATGTTACAATTCATCCCCTCTCAAAGAACGCAACGTACTCGTTGCGCCCCACGACAGGTCTCAAGACGCCTCTCAGGTCAGAACTAAGATGGCTAACCAGCTCTGATACCACTTGTAACTCCCCGACCGCCCACGGCTAATGGGCCACCCACGCCCGCTCTCTCGGCCTGTGGGCCCCATCCCGTTCCACGGCCGGTCCGTTAATATTCCAAGGCTCTAGAGTCATGTTTTACTGACCCTGCAATCACCACATGACCTTTCCCCTTGCTTTGGCCTCACTTACACGCTTAACTCTGGAGTTCTCTCTGGATGTGCTCCCGAAAAGCTAAGTGCATTTTGGTGACATAGGTAGCCAAATCAATTCTCTTAAGCCTTTCCATATACCATTAAACCGGGATGTTACAAAACCCTTCAAACCCTAAACCCCGAAACTTAACCCCAAACTTCTAATATATACCTAAACTATATATAACTTTTTAAACTTAAATTATATACTTGGAAAAAAATATCTAACTATATAGGGTTTATTACTTTCAAATACATAAATATAAATCTAATACCTTAAATAACATACTCTTAAGACCAAACCCTATATCATAAACACTAACCTTTCATTTTAAACTTCTAATATTAAAATTTAATTATAAATAATAAGATCAAAATATTAATTAACTATAGAGGTTTTATAACTTTTAAATTAAAAAGAAAAAAATCTAATACCCTAAACACCATACTCTTAATACCAAACCCTATATCATAAACACTAACCTTTAATTTTAAACTTGTAATCTTAAAATTTTAATTATAAGTCATAAAATAAAAATATAAAATTAACTATAGACATACAACTATTATTTAAAGCTAAAGAGTTTTTTCCTATAAATTAAAGATATGTTTACTACAAATTATTTTTTTAGCTTACGAATTAAAAACAAACAATATTTTCTATAGGCACTGAGCCAAAAAAAAGTAATTGGTATTACCGAGAAAGCCAAAATTTTAGTTTCTCCTTCCCCAAATTATTATTGCACCAAACCCCTAATCTCACTTTCAACTATCTAAATCTCTTCTCTCTTCTTCTCCTTGCATCTGATAATCCCTTTGTAAACTCTTCTCTCTTCTTCATCTCGTTCATATCTTCCTCCTCTGTCAATCCCTAATATCTCATCTTACTTGAAGCTGTTCACGAAACCGTTCAACTTTCATCTCTACCGCTGACGCCGAGATCTAATTCCGCTAATACACAAAGTTGTTCACCTTCTATCTCAAAATTTCGTTTTTGGATCTGATCCTACTTTCAAAACAAGACTCAGATTTGTCTCTAAGTTCTTCGAAAAGGCAAGACTTGGATTTTCCTCAAACCTTACTCGATTGATGTTTCTCTTTTGCTGAACTTCTTGATTTCAACAAACTGATGAAAAATCTGGTCATCAAAAGTCGGTTAATTTGGCTTATGAATTCGTTGAAATGAGGCAATGTTGAATCTGAGTTTGTTCGATCGATAAACAAGGAAACTAAACTCGATTTGTGGGACTTAAGAAGACGTTTTATTAATCAGTATGTGAAGACGAAAGTGATTACAAGGAGGTTCTGAGAAAACGGAAAGGTCGGAGTTCTTAAGGAAGCTCCGACGAGAATACAAGGGAGATCGATCAGTTGTTAAACCCTGGATCTTGCCGTTAGTATTCTTGTGTCTATTTTCGGATCCCTTTCTCCCTCTCTCCTCCTCGTCTTTTATACTCCCACGTCCTCTCTCTGCTTCGTTCGCCCTAAGGCTCGTTTTAAAGGCCCAAAATCGAGTTCATGTTTAATGGGCTTTCGAGCTAGCAGTTATTCGCGGAACCGGGTTTAAATCGACCGGTTACCCGATTAGACCGGTCGTTCGGACTTCCAGCTTGATCTTTCTTTCGATCGCACTTCTGTCGAACTTTAGGTGGGCCGAAGCCTGTTATTCGATGGGCCTTGTGGTGAGATGCTCAATCCCCCTCCAACAGTAAGTCCCCCCTAGTTCGCTTGCAAGGAGCTCAATTTCTTGGAAGCGGATTGTGATGAGTTGGTTTCGAGAATGACAGGCTCGAGTTATCTACGCTTACGACTGAACGATCTTTTTTATCCTCCTCTCATTTGATCTCGGTCGATCGGAAATTGGTTTGCATATGCCTCCGAGCCTTCGCTCGGTACTTTCTGGAATTAAACCGTCGTTGGTTTGACTCGGGTCAATCTCGTTTCGTTTTCTCTTTAAGCGAAGAAATGGATAGTTTTGGCGAGAAAATAATAACGGATGCCTAGGCCCATTAGGTTTAATTTCTCTGACGACCTCAATCTCCGTGAGCTCCCTTATAAATATAAAGCCCTTCTCTCATTTCTTTTATTCTTCTCCACCCACAAGGTATTTCTCTTTCTTCCTTCTTTCTCTCTCTACTTTCCCTTCTTTTTTTTTACTTGGTTCTTGTTTGCTGCTTCTTCGCTCGCCGCCGGGATTCTTCACTCGCCGCCGGAATCCTTTGCTCGCCGCCGGGGTTTGCTGTTTTCGCCGCCGTGGAGAGCTTGTCGCCGCCGAAGACAGATCTGCGTTTTCGTCCAAGCGATCGATGAGTGCTTTGAAAAAGAGATTCACACCGGCTGAGAAAGGCAAGGGAGTTCGATTGGGGAAGCTATCACCCGATATTGTGCTCCGAAGCTCCACGTTCGACGCTCACCGCGGCGCTTTGATTGATGACGCTCGTCTAGATCTCGGTCGATCTGACGGCATCGGTGATTCATCCCGGGATGGCGAGAGCGGGTGGTGTCCGGATGATGATGTTGAGACGGATGAGTTGGAGGAGTTGGACGATTTGGGAGAGGCGAGCGAGATCGAGCGGTCTCCGGGCCTTGGTCGAATTGACAATGTCGGTGGTTCTTTGTGGGATGATGAGAATAGGCGATGTTCGATTGATGGATTGAATGGGTTAGAGGATTCGGAGGGAGATCCGTCAGATGCGAACAAGACCGAGAGGTCTTCATTTGGTGCGGGGGAGGCTGATCTGGAAAATGATAGCGCGGTGGAGGGCGATGTCAATCGGTCTCCGGTCGTCGTAGGGGATCCCGCGGCAGAGGGTGAGACACAACAGCGCCAAGTCGGGTGCGGAGAGGCCGAAGAGGCCGAGCGATCCTCGATGGGATCTGCGGCGGGTCGACGATCGATTCCTTACTATTACCACATAAATGGGGTGATTGAACAGTTGCCGGATATCCCGTTACGTCAGATTCGACCGTCCAAGATAAAGGGGGAGAATTGAGCTAATGTTTTGCCTACATGGTCTACCGAGAAGAGCGTTGCTATGCTGTTGAGGGGGCGCAGGGCGTACGGCGTTACGTTCGTCGTCCCTCGCTCTGACCAACGTCTGTGGACTCCACCCGTAGGCTTTCATTGTGTTTATGAGTCGTTCTTTGAAAGGGATTCGAAGTTATGGTTTCCTGTCCCTCGTCTGGTTACTGCGTATTGTGCGCGTCGGGACGTTCCGATGTCTCAGTTAATGAACGGGGTAACGAGGTTTGCTGTTGCTTTGTCAGTGATGGCGGCTGAAGTGGACGTTTCGATGAGCGTTCGGGTCTTTGAGGAGCTGATGCAAATACAACCGAAAGCATGCGATTTATATGCACTGCAAATGCGCGCGGGGTTGCATATCCTATCCGGCCATCCCACAAAGACCAAGCATTGGCAGCGTTCTTACTTTTATATAGAATCCGATGAGGCTGCTTTCGAAGAGCCGCCGATCAATCGATTTCGTACTTCAT